CTTAATAATTTGTAAATCAAAGCTTAAACGTCGAAAACTTTTCTTTTGCGTTTCTATATAGGATATTTTATTCTAATAATAGATATAAGGTGTGAGGTCTATAATAATACCACGTTTGTTCGGAGCAGAACGTCTGCCTAACGTTAGGATTATCCTCTAGCATATTTTATTATTTTTACTTACAACAATGTTAATTAACACTTAATTTACACGCATAGACTCGCAATACTCGCATGTGCGGATATATTATAATATATAAGCACTAAACATAAATCAGGCGATTTAATATATGCGGAAACTGCATGCGTGCGGATTAAATATTATTAGCAAGTACGATTAAATTAACATAATATATTATAATATTGTGCTCGTACAGAAGACACCATATAAAATGAATGCGATTTGCGTGAGATTATAATATGTATTTTACACGGGCCTAAATTGTTGAGCTGATTGTGGTAGACATAATAGTAGAGGCAGGCATAATAACATAGCAAACAATATTCAAATCAAACTAAACGCCCATAAAATAGTTCGATTCGGAAAAATTAACTTCTAAATGATTTAGAGTAAAAATAGGAAGTTCTAATTTGAAAAACGGAAGTTCGTCACTGAAGTACAGGACACTTCTTAAGTATAGAATAAATAAATTCAAGTATTTTAAACAATGGTCTTGGATAAGATATATTTCAAAATTTCAAAAACAGAATTTGAAAAAATTCTTTATTAAAGGAAAATAGGGTTGAGTATGCATGGGAAAATCACCCTATCACGGGCGGAAATAGCAGTCCCACCAGCCAATAGTATTTTCTACAAATTATTTATGTTTAGCTATAAATTCTAACTTTTAATTTTGGGAGGACTACTAATTATGATAGTTACATAATATGTATCAGTTGTATCTATGGTCATCCGTTTAAAAAAACAAAAAAATGTTTTTTTTCGTGAGGTGAAAAGAATAGGTGTAAGCTACTCTTTAACTATATATCTATTGGGGTTGAAAAAATAAACCATAAACACCCTTCAAGTGTTGAGGAATCTTTTGATACACGTTTTATTGAAAACGCTCCTTTGAGTCAAAATACGTTAATTTTAAATGACATTATATTATAGTTTATAATAGATATTATGTGTTATTCGCAGGACACGTAGGCTTAATGATAAATGTCAGGACCACTCGGCTTGTCGCAATTCGGCTACGATGAGTAGCTGTCGTCGTTACGCAGTTTTCTATTATTTGCGCTCGTACTTCGGTGCAGTATAATATGTATAGCTTCAGTGGCGATGCCGTTTTGTGGTCGCAGCAGATTTTTCCGGAGATCGGTAAACATATTATTACGAGTCATCCGTAACGGGATGGATAAAAAGCAAAACGACACGATAATAATTATGGGGCCGCGTATTACGTCGCGACACGGATTTCGTACAAGTGAAAATCGGCTACCTTGCTGCCGTTTTTATTACAATAATATTATTATTAAACTCGGATTTGTGCCCGTGTAGGTGGATAATATACTGCTGTAGCACACTCGCAGATCGTTTCGTCGTTAAAATAATTACCGTCCGCGTAGTGTAGTTGTGTTAATGGCGTAGTTGTTGCGTGTGGCCCGACGCCGAAAACCTGCGAACGAGACGTATATATAAGAATACGCGCCGCCGAGGCTTCGGACCGTAAAAATAAATTCGTCGTTTATAATATTATATACATTATACGTGCGCGTCCTCTGCGACGTACCTACGGGCTATTAATTATACCTTCAGCATATAATATATTGCACCGAGTGAGCGCAAGTCCTCAGATCGTATTTTAATAAAATATATACCTATGTGGCTATAATATGCTTGTGCACAAGATCTTGTGCAGCAGGTGTTATGGACGCCTCACGTCTTCAATATTTTTTTAGCATCGCTTATGTCTCTTGTGGTCAGCGGACAAGCATATGTGCACCACATGTAGCAGTATAGTAAAATGTTAAGGCAGGTAGTTATTAATATCAATTTATAACTTTTCAAAATTAATATTCTTAAGTTTTTTAGATCCGTTATTTTTATCCAATAATTACATTTTTAAACTATTTTGGGAAAACGTTAAATATTTTTAATTGCTCTACAAATCTAAAACGTCAAAAGACACAAAACAATTGTTTTAACAACCATCAAAATGCAGTAGGTACCTGCACCGATTATTTTAAAACGCATTTTGGTATTTATAGAAAAACATTTTTGTACACCAGACAATTCCCAAACTTCCATAATAATAATTGAGCCTGACTTAACCTCCCAAATTGTTGTTCTCAAACGCCACTAAAATTATAATAATAGGTAAATGTATTATGTCAACCTGTCTCTCGACTTTTAAGACTTGTACGATTGCATGAAGTCAGAAAGGTTAAGAGGACGCCACACCCGCATGTGTTGTCTCCGTCTTACAAAGGAACAACATAGCAAAAACTGTTTTGCGCGGGACAACTTTTATCTTTCTGTGTTTGTAGTAGCGGCTCCAAAATTTCTGAACATATCGAGTAGAAAATTAGCTATGCAACAGCTTGCCTATATTTTAGATAACATAAATACAATAAAAGTTATTTGCTTTTAAACATTTTGTTTTTTTTTTTGTTTTTTTTCATTTGCTTATAAAAAATGATAGGAAAGTGTAATTAAAAAAAAAGCACTCTGTTACACAGATAAAGTTCTTCTTTACGTGTTGTGAAACTTTGGTAGTTCTACAACAAATATAGTGCGAGAAAAGTTGTCCCGCGCTATACAGTTTTTGCTATGTTGTACATTTGTAAAACGGAGACAGCACATGCGGGTGTGGCGTCCTCTTAAGTCGATTTTGAGTTTTAAATTATATTTACGACATATTTAACGTAGCCGCAAATATAATTCCTATCGTTTAGAACAGTCATGCCCAACCCGCGGCCCGCGGGCCACATGTGGCCCGCCAAGGTATTCCATGTGGCCCGTTACAAATTATTAAAATAAAACAAAATATTCCAAAAAAAGTAAAATTATTACAAAATACGATTTTAATTAATTTATAAATAAAAAATACAAAAATAAAAATAAAAAGTATATAAAAATGTTTTTATATTGCAACCTACTATGTGTACCTAACTAAATTGTATTAAGATTGAGATTATGAGTACTTTTATATTTGGTGGCCCGCTCGATTACAAATGTTTACCAAAGTGGCCCGCCGAGGAAAAAAGGTTGGGCATCACTGGTTTAGAAGATGAAAATTCATCGTCAGAGAACCCATTATATTTTATGTAGCTACTTTTTGCAGCATATATATATATATAAATCGTGTCGGACTCTTCGGTGCGCAGTGTGCGTGCGCCTCGTGCAGGATCTAAGGTGGTATAAATATATTAATAGCCATATATATATATACCTCATATACGACGATTTTTCAAGGGCATCCGGTGGACCGACATTTGCAAGTATAGTAATAATAATAATAATAATAATAATACAGACGACCGTGTATTTGTCTCTCCGTTTGCGGTGGACACGCAGACTGGTCCGGCGACGATACCAGTTCGGATTGTCTCTAGTGCACGACCGCGACGGCCTGACATTGCGCGTCCATACCTTGGTTATAAACTACCTACCATTCTCGCATTGTGCACGTCGAGATCATATTGTTACACGCAGAAGAACGCAGCAGCGATAGTTCGACACGCCATGCCGTTAGCCATTTATACGCAGTGTGTACACGTGTGATACACACACCAATACGGCCTACCTCGTCAATTCGATTTTCCGAAGTAACCCCACACGCAGTACCTAGTTCTTTGTCAATAAGACAATATTATACCAACAGGAGCTCTCTGGCCATCAGCGTTTTATTTTCATAATGATAACATGTATAATACGCGTTCTGCGGTGTTTTGCATTCGAGTACACGACAACACGTGTACTTTTATAATATTATTGTATTGAATACAATTAACGTATTTTATTTTTCATTTGTATTTTGTATGCACCTACGTTATTCGATCAACGCACATTTTTCTACCGGGTTTTTATTTGGTCCCTTATTCTGGATATTCTTCCATTCATAGAAATAATTCAATCATAAAAACTGCTAACGCGTAATACAAAAAGTTAAAAAATAACAATAACCCGCAATATCCACGTGCGTCGTGCAGGTTGTATTATGCAGTCCTTACTAAACTTCAACATCGAACTGCGGCTACGTATAAAAATATGTTACAATTCTGATGTGTATATTATATTTTGTATACACAGTGCACGTTTGAATGTATTCAAACTGAACGATTTTTTTTTTATAAAACACAAGTAACATTTTTTGTTACCAATATACCTTTGGTTGTTATCAATATTATCATCACGGGTAGGAGCGATAATAATGTTGACAGGAAATACCTCTTAATTACTTTATTATTTAATTAAAATAATATGTACCTGTTTATCATTTGAACGAGTAATACGAATCAACAAAGAAATTAGTAAAGTCGTCAATATTATTTTATCTATATATATTTTATGTACAATGCGATCACAATATTATAATAATTACTTTACATGTAATAATAGGTAACAATTGTACACTGTGGCAGTTACAGTTGCCCACATTTCCCATCCAGCTTATACAGCACATTTAAGACTTCGGCCCGGGGGTGGCAATTTAAGCAGCCCCTCGATTCAACGCCTATTATGTGCGCCAATGAGTCGTCGTGCCTTTTCTTTAAACACTCGCACGTGCCGAAATTAAACAACGACAGTACATGATGGGTACGCGGATGGCGTTAATAATATTATAGACTAAATTTTGATTTATTCGAGTGATTATATATCACTATATACGTACAACTGCATCAGTAACTTAAAAATACAAAACAATATCGTAAGACTAGACTGTGTATAGGTAAATACGTTATATTAATTAATAATTATCTGTAGTCGGTATTACCTCATCACGCGCGGAACAAACGTGGGCACCTATGTAATGTGTAATATGTATAATGGAATTTATATGCACATCAATTATGTTTTAATAGAAAAAGTAATATAATATAATTACATAGTTTATAGGCGTGAACAACATCCTGTATATATTATTATTATATAGGTATGCGTACTGCTATCGCGTTCAAAACGACAAGCATTTAAATCGTTCGTTTACAACGTCCTGCTTGTTTACGAAATATAATATAGTTTCGAATACCTAGTAGAACCCTAAACGTACGTAATATTTTCACTCTTCGTACCTACATAATATTATTACAATATAATAAATAAAATAGTCATAAACGGCGAGAGGAGAGATCTCTCGTTAACAATAATAATAATAATAATAATAATAATAATATTAGACATTTGAGAAATTCGTTGCTTTTCGCGCGATCAAATAGATAGATGACAACAATGTCGGCATAATATATAATATAATAATAATAATAATAATAATAATAATATACGTAATACGTCTGTCTTATTTCACGGATTCCGCACTTTTCATCTTGCGAGATTTTGGCGCCATCTTCGTCGGCCAGATACAATATAATATATTTATATATATCATATATGTACAGCACGGTATAACAGCAATATGGTGACAATTATTCCTAGGTAGGTTTATTTTATTATATCGTTATTGTTGGCCACGCTTAACCCGCCGTTAAATCTTTGGCAAAATGAATCCGTTTTGCTGGAACATCTGCCTGGAAAAAAAAAAGATAACGTCGTCATTATAATAATAGTAATAGTCAACAGATATATATGACATGATGACAGCAATATTTACATTCTATAATATAAACGATTATGCGTGTGCCGCCACTCGTCAGGAGCGATTAAGATTTTCCTCATTTAGTGAGGATTTAGTAAGTTATTAATTTTTTACCTCAAACTCACTGATCTGTGGTGCCACCAAAGGTATTAAACTATATCATAATATATTATAGTATAATATACTAAAAAAAAACATTCTTAGAACAATAATCAGTGTATTATAATTTGTATATGTATATATGTTTTGTTAAAAATGCATTTCCCGATTTCTCGTGTCGTAATAATAACATCAATATAATAAATTAATGTTTAACCTTATATTTCATATTGTTGCATCGTAATGCAATGTAATACCTATGTAATTCTTCGTTTAATTTTATAAAAACTTAAATTTGTATCAATTTATTTGGCCCCAGATATCTTGTAGGTATACTTATAAGAATATTAATACTAACATGTTCGTTTATTCGAGTAAATATCGTAAGGTAATTCTAAGTTATTTTTCGATAAGTACTTCGATAAAAGAATTATATAACCATGATGGTAGGTACCGTAAAATTTTGCCCCGGGTGGTAAATTCGTTAACTCGGAACTGAATTAATCACATTAACATAGTGCGTATAGGTACGTCGTTTATTGTTTGGGTGTACCTATATAATTTAGTGATATATGAATAAGCCACCACACGATCAGCCACCACCGCCACCAATATAACTTCACAATAAATAATAATTAACGTTTTAAACAGCTGTCGGAGACGTGCACAACATCAATCGAGCTGTGTGATTTGATTAGGATTCGCTACGGCGCGTACTGTGATCTACGCTATTACTGTAAGTATACAATATAATATATAATATTATACATAGTATAACCACATAATATATATAAACATAATAATATACACAATATAAGGTGCAGGGTACTAGGGTAGTTACCTATCGGAGGGAGGAGGACGTAGGTACAATGTATAATGTACACGCGCGCGCGCGCCGTTTCAATAAAGGACCGATGCAAATAACCGTGAAATCCGCGCGGGCGTACGTGAAAAACGTGGAAATAACAATAAAAATAATGCGAATAAAATATTATTACGACATCTGACTAATTTTCGCACAGTGCTTTTGTGCGGGTGCGGGGTAAAATACGCGTAAACGAATCGGCTTTGCGTTTACACACAACAATAATATATTATACACAACGCAATCATTATTCTATTGAGACATTGAGTTGTATTATTGTTTGTTGTAGTATAATATAGTCGTCACCTCCGTAAGTATACGGTAGTTTTTCTCTTCACAATAAAAATACATATACGACCACCGCGATAAAAGGTCCAGAACGATGCCAATATACTATAATATTATATATCGCGTGTCTTCGTATATAATATATTGCGGGACATCGCATTTTCGTTCGAATCAAATATGCAAACAATTTAAATTTAATTACAAAATAACAGCTGACGGGTAGCGCATCGTACTCGTACGTATAATGATATATCAATGCGTACATAATATCATTTTAGTCGTATAATAATCGTTATAACTGACGAGAATCTCCCTATATGCGAGAAGACGCAACACACGCACCTATTGCAGTCGTTTTCTCGGCGAGTCTCTGGCTCGTTTATTTTATAGAGATAATAATATTATATTATTCGGAGCGCAATCATCATGCCATTGAGACATTGGGTCGTATTATTATAATGTGTGGTATAGTCTTGCGCCGTCTCAAGTTTTTCTCTTCGCAAATATCACCTACGATGAGACTGCTAAAGCACTGCTAATAATAACATTATAGCACGTGTCTCCGCGTATTATTGTGTACGTCGTACGAGAATTGTCGTTCGTGTAATGATACAGAATAATACCTGACAGGTGTAGCGTATCGTATTCGTGTATAATGATACATCTATGCGAACACATTATTGTTGTTTACTCGACGAATATCTCCCTGCAATAAGAGGAATCAACACGCGCGCATCCGTTGTCTCTGCGTCAAGCACGCACATGCCGCATTCTAAATGTACGTTTCGCGCACAGTTTTGTTGATATCACTGATATCAGTGTAAATAATTAATATTTACCTTAACAGCGAGTATAATAAACCTTAAATAAATACGGTATGCTATTGCATTTTGTTTTCTTGTAGAAATAAAAGTAAATAGTGTGGCCACAGCACTACGTATATATATATATATAAATGTATTGACTTGTAACTAACTAGGACTTGGATTTGTATGCGTTAAAAAAAAAACAATGAAATATTTGCATAGGTACATATGCACTAGAAAAGTCCTTAATATGCAGTAGATATAATATACAATACAACATCATAAAATATTTTTTTTTTAATTTGAGTTGTATCTATATCATGAGGTACCGATTATGAAGCGAATTTAAAATCGGATATTTGATATGCTGCATCTTCCTAAGAAATACGAAAACGCATCAAGTGACAAACATATTCAAATGCAAATGGGCTTGTACCTTATTTATATAACTTATAAGAACTTAAACGTTTTAGAGTACTACAGCCTTAAGTAATTAAAGACTTATTCAAAATATTCACATGTAAACAGTAAAATAATTGAAGCATTTTTTTGAAAAATTAAATCTGCTTTAAGTTTAAAACAAACAGTCAGCGACGTATAAGAGAGTTTTAAAAAACGCCAAACTAGAAGTATTACTAAAGAGTAAAAATTTGAAACTCGTGGAGGCTCGATGCACGTGGACCATGCAAGATATGAATTGTTTTTGTGTATTTAGACGCACTTACGATATTCTTCGACAATTTGCGATGTAAATCCCGAACACTTTTGGATATAACTGCATACGACAGGCCTACACTGTACTATAATATTATATACACCTGAGAAAACCGTATCTATCAACAACTAAATTCACGCCGTCTTTAAAATATTACAACTATGATGTATTATGTTGACTGCACGTTAGTGAAGTATTCAAAACGAAACAAAATTAACCTTTGTAAATTGTATTTGGTTGCATCCAAAAACTACACACTTATGGGTTTTGACTCCACAAGACATTTGTGATTGACAAAAATCGTACAATTCAACGGTTTATTGCATAGCGAAATTCCGCTCACTGCTTTTGATCTACATACCAGATTTGGAGCGAAGTTTGGAAGAAGCACTCGATTTTGTTTTAAATTGTGATGCTCTAATTATCCAAAATGAAAAAAATAACATATTTTCAAATACGATTAAATTTTTATTTTAACGTGTATAAACATATTGAATTCATGTATAATTAATAACTATTATGAGTACAGTTGGTATATCTGAAGGTAGTTAAGATAGTTTTTAAAAAAATAACAAATATAAATAATAAATAATATATTTTTAAGTAATTATTAAGTGTGTGGTTTTCAAATACAATACAACCTTATTTTTAAAGTATGTGGTTTTGACCAAGTAAATAAGTGTAGTTTCAATCTACTGAAACCATGTGGTTTTTGGATTCAACACTTTTTTTTGCCTGCAAAAAATATTGAATTTTACCTTGTGATGTGCGATGCTATTATTTACGGTTATGAGCGTCATATTAAAATATCATGTACCAATACAGCAATAGATGCCTCTTATTGCGGTGGACTAAATAAGGATGTATTATTGTCGTAACAAAATTTAACACATCAGCTTATCGAATAAAAAGTTTATTTTGTGTGGGATTCTACATTATTCGCAATCTTTCGCATGTTTATTCTACCGAAATACCGATCTATTATTATTATTGTCTACGTATGATCATAATATATTGTACACCAACAGTAATCCGATCTTTGCATCATTTCAATGCATATTTAAAATCTTTTATATAGTATTTTAGACAGCTTAAGTCTATAAGAAGATATTATCCACGATAATATTTAATCGTTTAAAGTATATATTATTATACATACTACAGCTGTGGTGTGGAATTTAACATGATTTTAATGGAAATTAGTCACGATATTCAATGTTATGACTGTAAAATAATAATAAATCAAAACAGTCGTTACGATGTATTATCTAAAAAAATATTGTACCTATTTATATACATAATTATTATGTTATACTTAAGTTATTTATTTATTTCAACTGGCACCATGCAAATCTTAAGGTTATTTTCAATAATTTATCACTTTCTTTTTATTGTCTCATTATTACGAATTTCTTTTGTATTTCATAATGTAATCATCGTTGTTTGTTAAATAATTAAATCCCAGGTCTGTATGATTTTATATTAGATTATTTAGATATAGTTATACACGAAGTCGTAAGCATAACAATATCATTACAATTTGATTAACTCGTAAACATTAAAAAGTTAAAACAAAACAAAACTTCGTGTATGAAATCATAAAGACAAATATTATTTTATTTAAATACTATAATATGTATTATTGAATTGAAAAAAAAACCAAGCAAATACCTTTTTCTGTGATATAAATAGCTTATTTCTCAAGTTAAGAAAAACCAGATATCAACAAAACCGATAGGTTTCGGGGGACAGATCTGTGATAAAACCCAACCTATCACCCATGTACGAAAATTGTGTCTTACAGACATCCATCACCCCCATCGCTGGTTAATTTTTTTGACGATGCGGACTTTTTCCACCCGGATATTAGGAATTCCCCAGGTCCATTTCCCCTCATAAGCAATTGACATGTTTCTATTAACTGACATTAGAACCAGACCATTACGATTAAAAAAGTAAAATCAAATACGTATCATATATATGTATGCTCTATGACAGTTTGATAGCTTTATAAAAAAAAAGATAAGGGGATCGACCTCACATCGTTTTATATAGAATGTACGCTCACTCACAGCAACTAAATATTATTTATTATAAATCTCCTCTTCAACATTAAATTATTATGTATTTCATTCAGAATATTATACAAATATGCACATTTAAAAATGTAATCACAATCAACTCATTAAACATAATCAATCAAGTTTAAAAAAAAACAGGAACATTTTAACCATGCAGTTTACTGTGCTGGACTATTATGCAGATGTATATAATATACAAAAATATAACCAAATAGGTATTGTTAGTTAGGTCAGTGTGTTAATTAATTAAGTTTGCTTATGTAATAAAATAATTGAAATATTGTTAAAAACTGTTGGTGTATTATATTGACATATTGAAAACCAAGTATATTTAAAAGACTGAATGGTGTAACCACGAATAATATGCAAAATACAGAATCTGAAAATCTGATTTCAAATTCAAATTATTCGTTTTAGAATTTCCAAAACCACATAAATTACATTACACGAGTTTTTCTGTTCATTTTTAAAAAAAATAATAAATTACAGTCAATGTCACCTTTCTGCAAACAAAAAAATAAATATTATGGTCCTAGAACATCAGTATCTACTACTATTTATAAATAAGTATGGCATAATACGTTGAAATATCATAGTGTACATTTGATATTCTGGATGCAGTATACTGGGGCTGGTCTCAATAATATCCTACATCTTACAATACTTTTCAATTTTTTCAATTTTAGATTAGAAACAGATGAAAGCTTCAATGATCCAACATGCCTGCATAGATAGGAAATAGAATATTTTACTGGATTTGAAAGAACACGTTTGTTAATTCGAAGTGAAGAACCCTGATTTTTTTATGAAAGTCTCAACACTCTCAACTATTTTCAGTCAAACAGTTAATACTTAATTTATCAAATGCGTCAAAATTGCTGAGTTAATGTTTTATAACAACACCTTCAATTATAATTGTATGCAGGTAATATTTGTATAATCTTTCTGTACTGTGCGCTATATATTGTTATATTTTTAAACGTGATTTTTCCGACGATTTATAATGATTAATGAATAATATTTTATTGCCATGTGCTGCGAGGATAATGTAGGTACTTAATGTAAAAAGATTTATCTCACCTGATTTGCTGGTCGTAATGTGTCTTTTCCAGCCTCTTGTCTTTGGCCCTGCGATTTTGAAACCAAATCTTCACCTGCGTTTCAGATAAATCTAATGCGTTGGCCAATTCCGATCTCCTGTTCCGGGACACGTACTCGTTGTTCCTGTACTCCATTTCCAGGCTCAGAGTCTGTTCCGGACTGAACGTGGTTCTCTGCCGCCGGGGTGCCCTGCCTTCTTTCCGTCGCCTCCTTTCGACTGTAAACGGACCACACATGACACATCGTTACAACCGTGATTAGAAATAATTCAAAACCCTACAGTTTTTGTATTTCGGTCGATCGGATTTAACCGTTTCCGTGGTAGGTATGTGCATATATATTTATTATTAAACGTTCTACGTTCTTCGGCATTGTTCTTCTAATAATTGTCATTGGTTTATTACTTGTTTTTAATAAACACTTATATTCAAATTTACCCATCGTACACCTACAATAATTGTGTTATAATAAAATATAATCGGATCACCGCGTTAATGTATTTTTTTTCTTTGCAAGTAGGTATAGCTAGTATAGGCAGTTGATTAGGAAACCTACGAAATATTTTCGGCGGCTAAGTACGAGGGTTAATTGTTGTGTTATGACATTATTACACAGTAAACGGCGTATATTAACTTGTAATATAATAATGAATATGCTAGTAGTTATAGCCAAGGTAACTATACGACTTCCGAGTATCGTATTCCATGTATGTTATAAGATGTGATTTAAGAAACTTTAGATGGCATATGGTATACCTCAGTATGCCTTAATAGGGGTCAATATTGGAAAGATTTCCTTTCCACACAGAGTATTATGTGGTGATAGGCTACGAAATCTTTAAATACACCATGTATAAAAATAATTAAGGGAATACATCAAATTAACACATTAATGAAGCACCTACGTTTAAACTTAAAACGAAGCAAAATGCATACAGTTTTTTTTAAGAACTAAGACTATAGTGTAGTATAAGGTCTAAAGTCGACCAGAAAATAATATTATTGTTTATTTCATTATTTCACAATCTCTAGAAATGTTTATCTTGTTTAAAAATACATACCTACGTACATTACATCAAATACACATATTTTTACATGACCACGAAATAATGTTTAATGACACATTTTACAACAATATCAACTTTTTTAGTATGTTGTGTATGGAATTATAATTTATTTACAATCAATTCATGTAATTGTGTATCAATAAATTGTAATGATAATGTGGTGTCAAACACAGTTGGTATTTCAACAACTATTGTTATCTTCTTCCAAATTTAAAAAATAATCAGATTAATAAAATATAATAGTATGATCCTTTAAATTTATTAATGATGTAAACATAACAAAACATTAAATGTACTAGTTAATACTAAGTTATTTCCATTGAATTGGCATTTATATAAAAAATAATTAATAGTTTGTATTGTAATGAATGTTATGATTATATTCGCGAATCGAATAATTATTATTTTAAGAATAAGCGTGTTTTTGGTTATGTGTTTTTAGGTGGTGTAATAATTATTATCTAGCGTTAGAATGATAAAAAAAACGCTTATGAAATGTACCTAATGCATTGAAAAATCGAGTAATCAAGACTTAAAACAATAGAGTATAATTAATTATATTCTACAGTTTAATATCAGATGCATTGACTTAAAATAAAGATTAGATATTATGTTATACCTACATATTTACAAAATTTAAATATTTAATCAGCGTGTATGTTGACATGTTGTATTTGCCTACTTTAATACTATAATACATTAATAGGCTATAACTTATTAAATAATCAAAAATAAACCATTTATTTTAACAAAAATGCCAATCAATATTATAATGTATAAAATATCTACTTAGGTAGTTTTTTTATATTGTTTTACATTTTAATGTTACAATTTAATTAAATAGCAATCTTTTACAACCAATGACTTAATATATTATGATGTAATTATATTATTAGTTGTTTCAAATATTATATGCATAGAATATATTTTTAAATTTAAACTTTGTACCTATAATACGCGTATTACGACTGATCCAGAAAAATTGTTTCATATATTTTTGTAATAATATTGGCAAATTATTCCTACATACCAAAGTAATACTATGACAATAAATTACCGCAATATAGTGTGTAACACATTAAACAATACAATAAATTGTCTTAATATATTGATTATTAATCCTCATTAAAGGGGTACTGAGTATTTTTTGCTTATAAAAATGTTTCTGTTGTATACATATATAGATAGCCCACACTAATCGTTTTGTATTATTCCTATTTCTGTTTTTTTTTAAGTTTCATTATGACGTCATTTAATTCAAATTGAATTAATTTTTATATTACTAAAGGTAGGTAGTTATCTATTATTTTGACCGTACGTGGAATTATATTGTAAACCCGATATAACTCATTAATATTAATAACACATATTTTAAATTTGACATGAGTCCGTATGATTTTGTATACATATAATATATATATAACTGTGCGTCCTAATTTTGAGCATAACCCTGGAGATGTTTTTGAAGTATTAAGCTAAAGATGAATTGACTTTTGTAATATTATTATGTTGTATGTCGGATCAAACACACTTATATTATAATATTATATTTAATATGGAATAATAATTATTACACTATTATGTAATACGAAATGCATCTAAAGGGGCGAAACGAGTTCTGCCTACAGAACACCTACATAATTTAACGAACTCTTCGTTTTATAATAATTTTGTCAGTGAAGGATAACCTGACTTAATGCACTGTATAACAGAGATGAAATAAACGTTGCTGACATTCAGGCGTGTAGAACGTGTCTTCACGAACGACTACACCTATATGTACAACACCTGTATGATGCATATACTCAACTACCCTAGTAAAAAATGAAAAACCAAAAAAAAAAACCTATCAGAACGAACTCTTTGCATTGGAAAAGTTGCATGGGTCAATTATAGGTGTACCTACAAGCCATATGCATATTAATTATTATAATATTGTGAATATACGCAATGTCGACGGATGCAGTGCGGTGTTCCTATCCGTGAAAATACTGCATCACCCACCTACATTGTATAATTCTTATATGCAGTTGGCGTTCATAATAATAAACTATTGCAGTAAAATGCATTCAATGAGAAACTAAATAATCGAATAGGGGGAAAAGGATAAGTACTCGTAAACAGACTTTTTTAAACGCGTTACACAACGTGTTGTGATACAAATATGTCAGTTAAGTTACACATTATATTATATTATTTAATTCGTTTGAAAATAAAATATAATACTCTCATGTTGCGTCATTGTATGACACGGAATTATTGTGTCCATACTACGTATTATATTATATCAAATAAATGAACGTAGAAGTATTGAATGTACCCAACACAAATAGATACCTACTCGGGCTACTCATAATAATATATTATGTGTTCATACGAAAAATAAGTTTTACAACCACCGCGTCACCACGATTATAATAATACTCGTAATGTATTAAATTCGGCTTTATTCATTTATCTTAATTGCCTATGTATATTTTTTATTTACTATTGATGCATAGAAGACACCGATTGAAATTATCATAGGTACACATGATATTATTAATGTAAGTACTTAATTTTTTTTTTTTGGATTAGCATAAATATGTATTTAGTTTAAAAAAAAAATGCATAGTAAAACATTGTCAAACACTTAGATGTAGTTGATGTCACGGTGTTCGTGTAAATGTGTTTTTAATATTAAAATTAAAATAATATTATAATTTCCAATAAAGTATTTAAAATGTAAATATTATAAAAAACTTGATTCCACTTTAAATCGCTATTATGTAGTTCTTATAATATTATGAAATGTTAGATCATTATATTGTTTTATATACAGTTCAACAATATGTTACATAACACGTGACATATTTTTAATGGTAATAATTATAGTAATAATTAGTGCGTATAGGACAAACAATAATTTTCTCAATAACACTTTGCATAGTTTTACAATAGTTTATAGTGCTAAAAACAAAAAATATGTTTGTAGTGCAGGTAGACGGATGTTGAATTTAATATTTTATTGTGAAACTAAAAAAAAAATCCTTAAACTGTCATTTACATAAGGGCCTTCAAAACGTAATTTATGACATTTAAAAGTAACATAATATTTTGAATTATATTATCCATGTCTTATGAGCTGACTTCGGACTTATCGTATAAAATATCAATAAAAACAAAAAATACTTCAACTAAATCTTCTTCATTAATTTATTTTCAATCCGGCTTGTTTAACTTACTAGTACTTATTTATTTTAAAAAACAAGATTTTTCAAATATGAAATAAGTATTTAATTTTAGGTATAATAGTAACCTATACATTTATTATATTTATGATCATCAATATTTTATTTATTAGCAGCTATATTGAAAGCTTGAGGGTGTAAATTATATAAGTAAAAACTGTATTCACAATTACAAACAAATGTCATATTTTAAATTCTGAGCTGAGCGATAAATGTATTGATTTTACAATGTGTGTGTTTGTTTTTATGACTGGAGAAATTGTCTTTTTAAAGTAAAAAAATCGTTTGATTTTAATATCTTTAATAACTTTTCTTTTCTCTTCTTGTTTTGTTGTAACTCAAAAATAAATAATCGCAGATACTTGAAATTTTCACTGAATGCTTATATTAGCATTTTCTGTACATTCAATATTTTAAGTCTTTTTTAGCTATTTATAAACACGTCCAATTTGTGTATTGGTATTGTCAAATAATTTTTTTAATCTGCCGATGGGTAAATATCGAATATTGAAAATAATATATTTCATAAATAAGAATTTACAGTTTGGATAAGAAGAGTGCAAAATTACTTCAAACCATCAATTTTACCACACAAACTTAACATGAATTACCTAACTATCTCCTATGATAATAATAATAATATTATGATTTATAATTCTATTATATTAAATTTGATGGCCGAATTATCACCAGGATTCCTTTACTACTCATATAATATATCTTCAGCATTTCAGTGGAACCGAACCTTACTGTTTAGATCGAGCTTGACAATTTTCTCTAAAAATGTGAGCGGGACCCGACTACCCGAGCGGCTATGATTTTAAATCTATTCATACCAGAATATAATATGCATAATTACTCGATGCAAAATTAGAGATAAACTAATTCTTATTTATATAGTTTTAGACTTTAGACAATATATGTATATGTATAATTACCATACAATATATTATAGAGGTTCCCAACCCATGGGCCCCGGAAAATGTGGTACTGGGCCACGGAAGCTAGTCGAGGGTCTAAGCAAATAGTGTCAGCAAATTTTTAATTAACATAACATCAAGATTTTTATATGATTTCAATCGCGTCTACATATTTTCTTTTATATTTTCTCTTATATATTCGTGTGTGTGTTTATATTTTATACCTGTATATTGTACTAGGTAAGTGGGCTTCGGAATTTTTTTATATAATTAGTGGTCAACTAAAAAGTTTGGGAACCTCTGAAATATCTCGATGCATAGCTGCGTAGGTACTCCGTACGTTGCAGAGGGTACTCAATTCAAATTACGTGTTAATTTCACAGTGTAATAAATATTAATGCATTGCAATGTTCCAATTTCATATCGCATCGAGTGTTACGCCAATATTTCCTTTGGAAAGCGAACAAATGAAAATTTCACAAACGGTTTTTCCTATTCGAGGTCAACAACGTATAGTGCACTTGTGGCCACATGGGAAGTGTGGGACCAACGTATTTGGATGTGACCTGAGTGGATTTTTAGAAGTTCGGCGCCACCGATCGAGCGGACGTATACTCACGGAAAGCGGTCAAGCCGGCGGCGAACGTGTGTTCGACGTACGCGGCGGTGGGCCGGACGACCACGACGGTGTGCTGCTGAAGAGACGTGCCCGAGGTGGCCGCGGCCGCGAGCTGCGCCGGGACGGATGGCCGCGGCCGCCTTAGGCCGTACCACTGCTGTAGCGGGACGTCGGCGGCGCGGCCGTGAAGAGGGCGACGGACGTTTTCGGCGGCGGCGGCGGTGGCGTCCGTCTCGTACAACATGGCGAAAAACTTTCTGGGCGACAGCGGCCTGCGGACGGCCACTCCGGTTTCGGTCATGTCGAGGCGGCAGCGATACCTTATAATATTATGTCCGCAGTGTGCGCGCGTACGCGAGGGCTCGTAGGGACTGGACGTCGTAGACGACCGTAGACGATGCCGAAGCGCCGCCGCGGGGGGGCGTGTCCCTCGCGTTTATTGTTATTGTCATTATTAGTGTTTTTAAGGGTTGAAACCGTGTAATCTGATCCGCTCAAGCACCGGGCGAAGGGGTGTTTGTCGTGTGTGCGCACGCGCTCTTTGGCTCCCCGCCATCGAAATCCCATGCACGCCCCCGTTTTCTTAACCACGCGACCGTTTTAGTCACGTTCCCTCCCCTTTAGCGAGCTGTGCAGTGTGCACGTCCGACCCTGCTGCTGCAGGTGCATCAGATTGTTTCTTCTCTGCGTATTATATTATTTGCTTTTTTAAGTCATCACTTATATAGGTTTATACACATAAAAACACAATTCTTCAACCGAGTTGAGAGTACGTAGTTAAAAGATAATCGCCAGACCTTACATTAATTATTATATTACATAACTTTTCACGATACGCGTTATACTAGCCGAGATTCTGTTGGACTCTTTTCGTTGACGTAGCTATACAAATATAATCTCATATTGGTATTAATAAAAAAACACTATATTTCGGGATGACCGATGCGAAGGGGACGTGATTTTTATACAAGGTAGACATGACTTAACAATATCGCAAGTCATAATAGTAATACTATTATAATGTTAGCTAATCGCTTATGTGATGAATGATAATGATATTATGTTTATATATTATATGTATTATTATATTTTCGATATTTCACTCGCAGACTTGTATTTAGTGCATGCCCCTATTAAAAACATACCCGATTGTTATATTTATAATATATTGCTTTTTAATTATACACACAAAATATAAAGTACATAATGAATATATATATACACGGTACACTTTATACACACAAAACGACAACGTCGTATATTAATACAGTAAATAGAACTTTTGTGTATGGGAGTAATGCGATTAACTGCTCTTGTCCGAAGCTAGAACAGTTGTGTTTTGAGCTCGAGAGTTCTTGATAGCCACGTATACGGAAAACAACAGGTGCAGAGACTCAACTTTTGTGTCAGTCTTCGGGATCCCGAAGTAATCTGAAACAGATTTCAATTACGTGATTTAGTGGACCTGTGCAGTTAATCGAAGTTCTACGAAATGATATTACCGATGCATAAAAAGATGAAAAATAAACATTTCATAAAGTCGTAAACTCATAATATACTTATTAGATATACGGAGATCAGAGTTTCTTGTTCTTATATTATATACCTATTAGGTACTTACTTGTATAGCTCATTTAAAAATTACATCGACAAACATCGACAACCGATAGAAATCCGTGGATTACACGTGACGTTTTGCAAGTGATATTTTAATTTTTAATACCATATTATATTGGGTATATAATTATAAAAATAATTGTACTTACATTGACAACTCTTCCGGCATTCAATCGGATTAACATATTTTACTTCAGTGGATTAAATTTAAATAGTAAGTAATAACCGATGGTTGGTTACAAATTTACAATATATTATTAAATTGTAGGTATATTCTTTTACAACTTAAACTTACAACACTTCTACACTATTACACTATGACTATACCCACTTTATATCATTAAAAAATTTTAAGACTGTAGCTTTTTTTCAATTCACAATATTATATTATTATTATTTATTGTTATTTTCTTTTAATATTATCCCATGAACAATATAATACTCATACCATTCATACCTTCCACCTGTTTCATTGTAAGCTAACAAGTGTGTTTTTTTTTTGAAAATTTTGATTTTTAATGAAACTAGTTCAAAATTTGAACAAGTAGTTTATCAGTTATTAAATTGTTTATAGTAAGAATAATAGTCACTATAAATGATTTTACAATACTATAATATAAATTTATTATTGAATTTAGTACTTATTATTTATAGTATTACTTGGATATTTTTTACAAAGTATAATGACTTTATTAATTAGTAATATAATTTTCAAATCACTAAAGCTCCTATATTTTCCAAACATGTTATCGTGAACAATAACTCAAAAATAACTCATTCAAAATTTACATTTTGTATAAATTTGTTCGATTCTATAGATAGTATTTATATGCATTATGCATTATGTATCATATTTAATATAATACAAATCTTGCATATTATTTATGAACATTTATTTTAGACTCTTTTATTTTATAATTTTAGTCTTGCAAATATTGTTTAAGCTTGCCATACCTACAATATTTTTAACTGATCTATGTGATATACATATACTTCACTACTATAATATTTTACACTATTAAACATTTAAAACACATGAAAATCTACATCTTGCAGATATAGTCTTAATATTTAGGTATGTCCTAGAACATAAATACACCCATAATATATGGATCTAAAAGTTTTCATTTTATATGAGAATAGTATTGAATAATACCTCATAAATATATGATTTATTTAGATAAATAACTAGCCACGTCGCCGTACTATAACATGATGTATATCATCACAATTCAATATACTTGCATAGTTATCTTAAAAATAATATCGATGCACTTACCACAGACTTCATCAATAAGAGTCAACAAATCTGAATTTTCGAAATCCGGCATGTCTCTGCTCTTCTGATCGCCACCGTCCATCCACGGCTCCATTATTGTTTCTACGTCAGGCATTTTTCTGTTGAAGAGCAAAATAATTATATGCACTGTGCAGTATATTATAATACACGTAATATAATAAATAAATACAAATTTTTTCAATTACATTATGTACAGATACTATAGAGTATAACTTATATCAGTACTTACTTGGAATAAAAAAATGCGGATGTCTTTCCGCGGTTCAATTCATTTATGTCACGTATCCACTGTTCGATGACTTTTGGATTTTTTTCTGCACTTTCCAATTTTTTCACCACCTTTAACAATCCCCCAAATGTTATACTATATTATTATTATTATTATTATTATTATTATTATAAAATAAAAATGATTTCAGTATCTCACATCCTACATGATCGCATCATTATAATTTTATATTCGTTTATATATACTATTTACGGAGTGATGATCCATTCGACTACTTAATATGACAAGTTACACTAATTTTCTAAGTTGATTATTCTTGTCTTGTCGAAAAAAAATGTTTCTGTAGAGTTTAGTTAAAATTTAAAAATATACCTAATCCTACATTCCCACATTTTAAATTAGCAAAATAATATAATTTTTCATCAGTAGTGTCAAAGTGTTATAATGTTTATAAAGGCAACCTATATTTCGTGTTATTTTATATTTATGAAAATAGAATATTTTTCTTAACATTTTGATGTAGGTACTTACAATTGTCAAATATAGAAATAAAACATGGTCTAATTAATGTGCATTAATGTAGTCCATTAATTAGCTCCCTTGTAAAACATGACATTTTTTTTATATAAAAAAATGTAGTCATATAATTACTTCTTACTACCGACCTACATATTATATAAAAACAATTTTTTCGAAAATGAATGTAGTCAGTTTAACCTAACCTAACCTCTCTATTGCATATAAGTATATTTCATAATAATATGGTAAATTGCAGTGTTAATATTTTCAACCCACCAGCGACTTGGACGAAGACGAACACGACGCCCGAAGCTGTAAGTTGAGCAGACACGGGTCGCTTTGGTTAAGACATGGCTCGTCCAAGTACTCCAGACCGAGGCCCGCCTGTATGGAAGGATCGGGTGCAATCACTTTGATAAAAGCATCGGCATCACCAACGGCAGGCAAGTAATCCGGTATGAACGGCTGCAACCTGAACTCGAGTTTTGCCTTCTGGGGGTAGTACCTGCAAACGGACATGTCCGCGAGCATAATATTATGCTACTCAATGTATACCACCCGACACCATGATGATGTCTAACCGAAATTACCCTCGACTTTCATAATAATAATATGTATATTTAAACACGTCCTAGAGTACATTATTGTAGTTTGTAGTTTTTTGTTAGTTTTTAAGTTGGCATAACTGATTTGACACGTTGAATTTAAGAGCCCAACAGTCTTGAATAAACAAATTGTATAATAAATAATAATAATAGCTCCCTAAGAGACATGATTTAAGAAAATAAAAACACGCTTCTATAAAATATTAAGCAAAAAAAAATCATTAACTTAGACACTCATCATACATAATTGGAATAAAACATACATATATATATATAATGTATTGAAGATGCGTATTATGCAAATTCTTAAGTGGGTGCGTATAGTAAGCTGTTACTATTGTGTGTAACATTGTGACTGGAGTGTAAAAAATATGCTCACACAATCATGTGAACCCCCGTAATCACATGTCACAATTATGTAATTAAAAAGCCACCAACATTGTTCACTAAAAAGTAAATAAAATAATGCTATAAAAAAATTTGAAAATATATTTGAATTCTCTAAGAATTTTACTCGAGATCGATCACCCCGCCTTTTTTATTTCTTCTACAATTTCGTATAGGTAATCATTATTTAAAAATATTTCAATTTTCACATTTTAAAATCAAATTTAAAGGAATGATAAGTGTCAAAATTGGAAAAAGTATGATGATCGATCTCAAATAAACTTAAAAAAATCTTAATTTATGTTGCATTCAGATTCGTTTTACCATATCACTAGTTTATTGGTACGATGGACTAAAATGTTTTCGTTGAAAAACGGTTGGTATTGAATTCTCTTAAATACATAGATATGCAATACACCACATAGCTACAATGTAGCAGCTGCATATATAATATTACCTATGTAATATAATGATAGTGTACTTACATTGATATGTATTTGAACACGTCTTTAATATCTTGGGATAAGTGTAAAAGATCGACGTCTTTATTGTAATCCCTAAAAAACATACATTATAGTTTTATTTATATTTAAATATGATTATTATTTACAATATCATATTCAAATTTTACATTTTATAACTTTTTTTTTTATAAGACTGAGTCCAGACAATATTTTTATTTTTAACGGTCTCCAGAAATTTGATTTAAGACGATTGCACAATGATACTAGTAGTATTCGATATTCTCTCATATTAGTAGATTATTAGAGCTTTGTAAACATTTTTTAATTTTAATTAAATAATTTATAATTATAATAGACAATTATTAATAATAAATAATTTTAGAAAATCACAATACCAGGATGTTTCAATTAAATTAACATAATACCTATTATAGGTATATATTTTTTTACAAACGAAATCAACAACTATGATTGTCTCTGGTTGGTTTTAAGTTAGGTAGTTTCTAAATCACCTACATAATATTGTATTTTTATATACCGAAAAGTTATTTTTATTTTTATTAAACTATTAATATATTTCTATATTACACACATTGTCACATAATTATTTCCGTGAACATTTTTCTATTTTCATGGAATTTTTTTCCTTTAAAAATTTAAACTGAATAAGTGCTATGATGATTAAATCTGAAGAAGACGATATAATAGGCAATTGGAATTTGCATATGTCTAGTTAATACTAAGAGTTATTAACAGGTATTACGAAATGGAACAAAAAAAATTAATTTTTTTTTAGTTAAAAGTGGATGACGGATGTGGTATTATATAATCATATTATATTTAATATAGGTACACAACAATAAACGTGGCGATTAAAGCAATAAATATGATTTGTTGGCATACGTCTTATGTACCTACGTGTTTTTAAATGATTGTTGTGAAATTATCGAATTATTCACCACACTAGAAAATTGAATGCATTATTCATTAAATCCTTTCCGTGCAGCTGTCGATGTGATTATGAATGTGGACCGCTAATTGGGTCTTAAAATCTGAGAAGTTTACGAATAAATGGAAAAAATAATTTTAATACGATTTTAAGGTAAAATTTTTAGTCAGTATGTCCATGAAAACCATACAATATATATTTATATATAAGACATATGTATATAATAAAGTATAATATACATAAAATTATATTATCTGACATATTGATATAATAATCCTTCAGTAATTGAAAAACGTGTTAAATGATGTGTGTTGTGTAATCATTGAAGTATATATTAAATAGAAGAAAAGTAATCATTATTACTTCGCTAGAATCAGAATATAATCAAAATTTAATTTAGGTACTATTTGATAAAAAAAAAATCATCTCACTGGATTTTACCTCTGAGCTTCGTGCACGTCAAAACTGTCCGGATCTTCTTTTACGGCCGCATCTACTTCTTCGTAATCCACAGCTCGTAACCTGGACCTGGACCTTCGACCTGAACCACTGGACATCTATTTAAATATAACGTCTATAAATTAATCTAAATGTATGTATTAATAATTAGTTTATTATTATAAATAAACCAGTGAAACAGACAGAAAATAGACAATTTCTTAATATACAGGATTATCACATATTTCACTGTCCTACCCTGTATATTATATTCTTCAAAGTTCAAACTGTTCACTTCACATCTTCGCAGAAGCATAATTATGGCTAGGTAAAGAGAAGGAAATAATCATTTTACCATAAAAAAAAATTAAGTAAATATGTAAATATTAATTTTATTATAATACTTAATAATTTATTTTGAGTCTAATCAATTACAAAGTAATATTATTAAACAATACTCAGAAATAATTATGTGTAGTCAATAATCATCATCAACATAATAATTATTATAGATTTACAATTTTTATCTTCATAATAATTTAAAGCTAATTTATTTAGAACCCTATAATCTGAATCTACTAATAATTATGGTATTGGTGATAGCAGAGAATAATAATACGAGAGCTGATAACAATAACTTAGCCCAGAGGAGAAAATTCTGGAAAAGTTATACTCGAATCCAACCATAAGAATTCGACAGTTATACATAACTATACACGATATTATATTTACAATATTACTACTACAGATCATAATATAATATTATATTCAATGATACTATAAGCAATTAAAATTGTATCAAAAACAATAATTTTTTTTTCGATATTTTATACCTAAAACCATTGATTATAAATAATTTATTATCATATATTATAAATAAAACAATACTAAAACCTAATATCACAAACAAATGCAAGGACAACTCTTGCTCTTGATATAATCACTATAACTCAATCATATATTTTTAGATTACCAAAAGTTTTCGCTGCTTAGCACTGGGCGTCCTCAGATCTCTACTGCTGTCGTTGTCGATGCTGCTATCCGACGACTCACTGTCGACATCCTCGGCGTCCTTTACGTCGATCTCTTCGTCGTACATTGTGTTTCACAGCAATTTGGAGGCAAATATAATGCAATATGACTAGTATTTGTTTCGACCGAGGGTTAATATTATGGATACGAATATGTATCAACGTACGCAAAGGCCATAATACTACACTCAGTAGGTGCACACTTTATACACGCTTTACACCCGATAACCACTGTTTTGGTTACCGGTGCCCGGTGTTGCCGTTGGTAACTGCACTCAGATACCAGCTGCTGCCTGCTGTTGTACCTACGCTGAAGTCAGTGGTCGACGATTGATTTTTTTGAATGTACAAACCGCCGCATGCATCGCCAAAGCACTCTACAGTATATTATTATGTACGATACTCTATAGTATAATATGTAGGTACAATACTCTGGCTAATATAGGTACATTGATACATATCAATGTCATATCGACAAGTTACACATTACTATGCACAAATATTATCAAATCAGTGATGGCTGATTGGCTGAAGTCCTAAGATTTTCAACAGAAAGGTCACTTGCAGACTACCCTCAAAATTACCTACTTGGAGATAATAATGAAATTTCGCAAAAACTTTTAAATACCTAATGAAACATTAATATTTTGTATGTAAATCTAATGTATGTGATATATTATCCAGATCTAGACCATGGGTAAATATTTAATTTATAAGTTTTAAAATAGTTATTATTTTCAGTCACTCTTTTCTATTGAAGTTTTTTTACAAAAAATGAACGACAAATGGCTAAAATAACTTGCAGAATATTATTAATACTATAATTTATATTATTATGTTAGATCCAAAGCAATCTTTCATTGCATCGATTGGAAGTCGAGAACGAATTTTCTCCTCTTTTATCCAGCAAGCTTATCTCAGTTATCTGTACCGCACTGGTGAATCGAAAAAACGTATTCTTAAACTATCGTACACAGCCGGAAAAAATACGGACGTACAGATTATATTCGGTTTGTAGGGAAATGGGATTAAGGAAATAAAATGTATAGTATCTAATGTTTAAAGTGGCGTCGATACGAGAGAAAGTCATAATAACGTTTTTAATATCGTATTACAGATAATAACTTATCATGGATTATATAAACTAGCCACTAAATTATAAACTGGCATCAAACAAACCCCAAAATATACCAAAATATTAAATTGCATACACGTCATGGAAAATTAATTTTACCGATATAGATTCAATAATGCACAATACATTTATAATTTATTATTCTCTCATCGAATATTTAAATCGAATGTAAAAAATTGATTTAAATATTACTATAATTAGGTACCAATAATATAATTCAAATTATTAACCTTTAAGCGTTTTTTTTCTATAACGAAATCAAATAGTCATTACAATTTAAAATAAAATATATATAAATAGTTGAATTATTAATTTATAATACTGTTGTGTATTATATTACAAACTGAGTTTAGTGATGAATTTTACAGGAACACAAGACACACAATACACATAGCATTAATGTGTACTTAGTAGTGAAACTAAAACATTGAAGGGGCAAAATAAAAACTTATTAAAATGCATAAAATTATGATATGTTATGCTATTTGTATTGCATTCTGTTTAATTAAAGGATAATATTAGTGGGCAAGAAACCGCTAAAATTGAAAAATTACCGTTTTCTATAAAAATTAAAAATTAAAAAGGTTAAAATAATAAAACTATCCATAAGTACCTAGTAAGTATTATAAATTTTGTTTATTATCTTGCAATTTATAAAAATGATGTATACATTTTATTATTTTGTGTCTTAATAATATAATACATGTAAGACATTGTATCATTAATCATTAAAATTATTACGATTAGAATGTTTGGTTGAAATTTTACTTCTTCCAAATTGTTGATGTTCAAATGTACAAATTTTTTACATAACAGCAGAAATAAGAACGAATGGAGTGCTATATTTTATTATTTTTTATAAAAACACATAGCCATTCACTCATTACAAAAATCACAAAATTAAACATAAGTGAATAACAACATAACAATCGAAACATCAAAATTGTTTAAGTATTATATGTATAGTAAAATGTTTGAATACATTGAATAATTTGTTATTATTCCGTGTTCCGTATCATAATATGCATGAAATGACAGCAGCCACTAAAAGTATTGTTGAAATCAGACAAAAATGTCCACATTAAGAAATGTTTTACGATAGAAATAGATGACGTAAGAACAATATGCTTATATTATAACTTAAAACCTAAATAGTAATGATTAATTTATAAAGAATCTACAATGTAAATGGTTTGAGGGTAATTTGATGACAAAAAACTATTTCAAAATGTCAATGTTTTGCGATTACTCAATAAATGAACATGGGATTACATACTCTTACTAATGTTCTTTTACGTTACACACACAGTCGCCTTGTAAGATGTGTCATTGTATGTTGAGGGTATGATAAGTTGCCTATACAAATCTCCTTAGAAATTTATATACTGGAACCTCCAATGATTCATTTATTTGGGTGCCGTAAATGTTTTAACATACAATATATTTTTTTCTAAAATCCATAGGCCAAAAATATGCCTAATTAAAAAAATATATATTTTAATATTAGCTATGATTATATTTACTATATTTTATTATTCAAATATTCAATAGTAAATAATATTATACAGAATACTAGCTATAGAGTTGAAAGGCTGCAGATTCCAGGTATGAGATATAATATTATATATTAATATTAATGGGATTGAAAGTTGAACTTAATTCAATAAAAGAAACTGGTCTATTTTTAAATAGATGTAGAGGTTATAGTTATCAGAGAAAAATTGCTTTCTTATTATAATAAAGACTATAGTATATCGTGCACAGAGTAGACAGAAAAACAAGAAAAACGTTATAATTATTTTTTAATGTTTTTGTGTGATATTATTAATAAAAGAACAATTTTTTTCTGCAGAATTTTTTCGTGATTATCATCTTTATATTATTATATAGTTATGCGGTTATTAATATTCACGTGATGACAAAAAAGGGGAACTCATCAGAAACCGCATTGTATAGACAAGCCACAGTGCCACTGCTAAGTGTCAGACACTTAAATGATAAAATATATAAACATGAACTGCTTAGTAAGATGCCCACGCTAATGATCTTGTAATAATAATAATAATTGACGTGTCGACAACGCTAAAGAATAAAAAAAAAAAAAGATAAATTACTTATTGATGTATAGGTACCTGCAGTATTAATTTCCAATAGCTGCAAGGTTTTGGTCAACCGTGTATATGGATCGTGTAGGTACATGTTTTTTTATTTATTAACAATTAAATAATACTGTACATAGAAAATGAATATGCAACAGTATAGGTAGGTACGTCATCTTAAATGACTATTATACGATTGTTGCCTTGCACTTTTATACACATAGGTACGACTCCGTAAATGTATTCAAATGTGTGAAACTAAGTTTTAGTGTCTGTGATCAGAATAAACATGTTTTTTTTTAATAAGTTGTATTTTTATCGCGTGTTGTTAATAATATAATGCTGTTATTATATGAAAGTCTTGTCATTTTATTGATGTACCAGCAGGCAGCAACTCTGTGCAAGCAAGACTGTGCGATTTAAATTATCAATCCTGCGAAGACTTGCTACAACAGTGATTTCTTTTATACTAGCTTATTTTTCTTTTTATCACTTATTTGTAAATACACCTATAGAAACATAAATTAAAAACAATAAACAATATCATAAAATGGAATCGTGATAATGTCTCGTGAAGAGTTATGTTATTTTTTTAAATATATTATACAGATACCTAATATCTGCTGTATACAGTAATACATTAACATTATATACATCGTATGGCCATACTGCCATACAGATGGTCGATGAGCCAATTTTCTATTCACGACATTTACTATTTCTTAACAGATATGATTATCCGTAATCATACCATTATTATCTATCAAAGAGAATTGCGTTTAAACGAAACGTTATATGTAACTATGGTGCATTATAAACCTATATGTTACATTTAAAAATAAGAATAAGAATAAGATTATTAATTTTTTTTTTCCAAAAATTTAACACCATTATTATTATGACATATTATTGTGTATAATGCGTTGGCACCTATGTCCTATGTAATACAAGTGCCTGAAGTAGGCATCAACTTATCTCTGAAATTGTATTCAATACATTGAAATGAAATTATAATATTCACCGCATAAAATATTATCAGGACGTAATCGAAGAAAGTATTTTTAAATTTTACCAATAGTTCTCTTGTATGCTTCAACATACTAAATAGTATGTGTCTGTTGTTGAAAAAAGTTAAGACAAACAATTTTATTATAGATAGTGAAATGTATGTAATAATATAAGTGTTTTTAGTTTGAACATATTATTACTATATCAGGTAGGTAAGTATACAAATATTTTAATAATTATTTTACTACTCATGCGGGTACACATTATAAAAATATAGTACCTGTGTGGCTATAATATTATGTTCACAACAAGTGAAAACAATCAAAACTCAACGAGGAGTTGCTTAATATTTTTAACCGTGATTTTTTGCTTATCAAGTAATTAAATAATACCCATGTTATAGCTATTTATTATGAGATTTTTTTTATTTATTGTAATTTAGTATATACAAGTACAGCTTCTGTAATTATTTTTTAACTTTATAACAATTATTCTTTACCCAGAATTTACTATCTTGGGAGGTTATTAAATAAAAATAAGAAAATAAGAAAATAAAATAAAAAGCTAAAAATATATGATAAAAATCTTAGAAGTCTTACTAAAAAATATTTGTACTATAATGTTATTATTCTGAGATTGAAGTTGTGAACGATGGAGATATTTTATTTAGTATAGGGTATTCCCAAAAAATTATATTTAAAATATATTAGTAACAGACCCATCGTGACTTAGCTAATAAATGACCGATTAATATAAATATAATTTAAGACGTTACCTACTCACAGTGGCGTAGCTGAGAACCATTTCTTTTTTTTTTTGGGGGGGGGGGCAAAATATTAAATACTTCACTTTAAAATAGCTATTGATAACGTCCTAATGACGTTAATAAGTTGATAACTTACATCTTAATCTTGCATCATTTGTTTTATGCATTTTTATATCATTAATCAAAAATAGAAAACAGTTACCAATGAATTAAAGACTTGAGTAAAATATTTATTTATTATTCTTCAATTTCAATGCTTAAACAAAAGCGTGCTATTTCCAAATTGTATACTCTAACATTTTGTATATAATCCAATGAATATATTATTATTGTAAACATATAAACATATTATCTAATCAAAAATAAATACGCATCATGCTGAAGAATAAAAATCATCTAAAGGTGGTAGAGGAATGTTACTGGCCATGTTGCCCCCCTCCCCCCACCACCAAGACCACACAAATACGCCACTGCCTACTCAATAGGAATTTAAATGGTATATAAAATTCAAAGTGCTATTATTCAGTCATTTTTGAGCTTTGGAAATCAGTTCGATCACTAAAGTCTAAAATTCATAAAAATGTGTAAAATTCAATAAAAAATATTTCATGGTGAAAATGGTTGCGTTTTACTACAATTTATAAACTTAATTTAAAACCAAATGTATTTTTGTAAATAATATTAACTAAACTAAACATTTTGCATTTAACATAGATATGCGTTGTACCTAATGAATAACATATGAATATTATAATGATGACTGCATGTGAAATGTAAATACTAGTATATTGTTTATAATGATTCTCAAAATATCATTTTTATTTTCTTAATAGTAACAGTAAGGGCCAAAAATCCATGTTGAGTATATCAGGTATCCGACTATTAATAAATCATGACCTGAAGATAGCCCTAATTCAGAACTGAAATCAGATTAAGAACTACATATACATACGCTAAAATAATTAATAACATAACCATAAAAGTATGTGGTATGTATATTTTTAATTAAGTTTTGCATGTACCTATGCCTTACGGCTACACCTATATTATATCAATTACAAATGAATGATATTTAAAAAAAAATTCATATCAATATTAACTTATAAATATATCATTAAATTAAAAAATTCATTCGGAATTATAGTAATATTTACTATTTAGTATATACTCAAATAACCTACATTGTACAATATTTAGCTTTATCACAACTACACTAAAAATAATATTATTTATTTTTCACATTACAAAAGAATAAATCACATTATAATAAAATAAAAATTGTATAATAAATTAAGTGTGCCCTAATGATGTTTACCAGAT